TACTATGATAAAGAGAGATACCAAAAATTGGTAGGGAAGCTGATATACTTATCCCTCACTCGGCCAGATATTGCTTATGCTGTGCATGTTGTCAGTCAATTYATGCACTCTCCAAAGATTCCTCATATGAAAGCAGTTGAAAGGATTCTCAGGTACTTGAAGACTTGCCCAGGGGTGTTAGTGCCTCTGGCATACGCCTCAGGGCGTTTTGGGAGCGCCTCGCCTGGAGGCGCGCCTCCCACGCCTTTTAAAACACTGTTCCAGAAACAACCTCATGAAACTTAGGTAGGATTTGGAGCATGACCAATATTAAGCACATAGGTAAAAAAAAAAAAAGGGAAAAAACAGAAATAGAAGTTATCATCAACACAATCAGTTTGGAGGAACTTAAGGAGAGTTTGAGATGACTTTGTCAACTGCGATTTAAAGGTGTAAAATTATATAACAAAAGTTACATATTCTTGAAACACTGGATACGATTTACAATCATGTAGACTGAAATAATTGTCACATATTAATGTAATAATTAAGAGCCTAAACAATGCAGGATCATAAAGTTCATCCTATCCATCCTACTATCCTAGTCTAATGCCCTCAGTAAACAAATTCACTAAGAGGGTATTCGTCAATGTGTATAGTTTTGTTTTGTCAAACAATAGTAACTGCAACATAAGCAAATACATGAAAAACAAAATAACACATATTGATAGACTTCATATAGAGCTGAGATAGACTTCTAATACGCTTAATTAATTAAATACAGATTGATGGGATTTGTGTATCATAATAGAAAAAAAATCCCTCCAACCCGATTCTTTATTAGAGGAACTGCCCATTAGAATTACTATGAACCAATTTCTATCATCTTGCCATGGAGCTGATAGTACGATGTTTTATGGTATATATTTCTGAAGAAGCCACTGAAGTATGTGATTCTAAATAGACTATTGTAATCAAATAGTATTTAAAGGCAATTCATAGCTATCAAAGAAAATAAGTTCCGTACATATATAGCTAATTATGAGAAATGAACTACATAAGAGAAGTACCAGTTTATAACTTGTTGAATCTTGGGGGTGAATTCCTCCACCTGCAGTTTCACAGTTCACGGATTAAAAAAGAAGAAAAAAAATTAGATTTAAGTGAGTGGGAGGAGTTTAGTTTGAAGCTATTACCTCTTTGGGAGTGAGAGAGATACGAGCAGTCTCTGCTAAAAGAGGCAAGTCAGGAGGAAGAGGAGCAGAGCGAACAGAGTAGTTCCGAACTCTCCACTGGGATGACCAAAGGCATCTTCTTTGTAAAAGAGATGATACTCCCATTACAAATGATACTCTGGTGCTCATTATTGGGTGAATGACTCGCGCGTCCAGGGCCAAACTACAGTTACCAAATGATCTTCGCTTTAGTTTAGGTTACTAGTGGAGGGTGGCCCATGCTAAGCATGGGACAAAGACTCAAGTGGTATGTTATCTATGTATAATTAATCAAACTAAGATACCTATAACTATAAAAAATATAAAAAATGTGAATTTATAAATAAATTTTTCAGAGAAAAATGGGAGATGTTTTCTAGGGTTCAACCATGGTACCAGAAAGACATGGTATCCAAAAATTTTGTGACCAATCAACTGGTATTATAAGTGTGTTAACCAATCAGTGGAATTTATCAAAATTCACATGTGGGTTTTGATTGGTCAAAACTCTTTTGGTACCATGTCTTTCCGGTGTCGTAGATTTTCCCTTTCTTATAAATCCTTTTTTGGTTAAAAGGATAGCCAACATTTAAATCATGAAAATGGATCTACAAACTTATAAATTGATCATAATGGTTTGCATTAATCCTTCCATAGTAAGTACTCATACAGTTAGTAAACAATTGTAATTTCCTAACTCAATTTATTGGAGAACAACAATTAATTCATGAAAATGGATCTTACAAAATAAACAGTAGAAACAAATATTAAGCAAGATATCCATACAACATATAAACACTTTAAATCAAATGGAAGTATTAGATAAAACAGAAAATATTTATATTGTTAAAAAAAAGCATTGGACATAAGTTAGTCTATACAGGCTGAGAGAGGTCTGATAGTAAAATCCTAGGATGACAAACATAAGAATCAAATCAAACAGAACCAGTTCCTTACTAACCAAGTTAGTCTGGTGGTTGGGGTCTATTCTATAGGGTCCTACAAGTTCAATTGCCCATAGTGCACTTGAGCAAACACAAATAGTACCAAATGTATGTCAGCCTGCTACAGGACCATTTAGTCCATGCAAAGAAAAGGTTCCACCAAAAAGGTGAAAAAAGAAATACAAACATAACACTTTAATTAGTCCAGTTCTATTTTCACTGGACAGGACCTGTCCCATCTAACAAACTTCCCAGGTGCCAAGACAGGACAGGACCTTTCGAATTTCAATCATTTGCAGAATCTCTATAATCTTGGTTCATTGCAATGTCAATGAGGTAAAATTCATACAGAAAATGTGATCAAAAGAAAAAAAAATAAGAAACAGTTGAGTGTCTGGTAAACAGGCGAAGACAACCGCATAGAGTTGCAGACAAAGATATACCTACCTAAAGAACATAAACCTCTGTTACAAGGAGTCAGGAGTTATTAATTCTGAAATTTGAAGTCGATTACTGAAGTCAAAAAAAAAATGAATAAGGTTTAGGGGAGCATACCTCACAAATGAAGGCTATGCAATTTCTTAGAAAACCCTTGATTCAAGATAAATTGAACCAAATAAAAATCAAGGCTAAGTTGGGGAAACATCTACTAATTAATTCTTACACCCCTAGATTCTAAAGTTGGTTTTCTTAGGAAGCCAGTACAAAGAGAGAAATTTAAACCAAGTCTTTTACAAAACGTGGCAAAACAGAACCTGTCTAGCTGAGCCCATGTCCCCATCTGCAAAGGTCCCAATTTTTATGGTAAAAGGGCAGCCCAGTGCAAGAGGCTCCCACCAATGTGGGGTCTAGAGAGGGACAGATGTACCCAGCCTTACTCTTGCATATATAGAAGGCTGTTTCCAAGATTTGAATGTATTAAAAGAAAAGGAGAAGCAAGATATATTAAAAATGAATTACCATTTTTATGGTGATAAATACAAAATGTATTAAAAGAAAAGGAGAAGAAAGATACAGAAGAAAACAGACTCATAACAAAAGCAAAGGGCCAGAAAAACAAAAACCAAACCATACAAAAAGAACCCGAACCAAAAAGACTCGGGATCCCACCCCTATTGACCTAAGTTATATGATATGTTTATTTTCTAACATGGTATACTTAATGGTTCCCAAACAATAGTCCAAATTGTGAGGCTTACTATGGTTACAGATTTTCACCAAGGAGTCATTACTTGTTTCAGATTATTGAATTAATCATTATTCATTATTACTATAACACAAAAAGTATAGAAAATTCAAAACCATATATTATTTCCAACACCTAGTGAAAGTTTTACATTGTTCAATTTAGAAAAGTCATAGAAGTCATTAGTGTTCCATAATAGAAAATCCTTTGCACTGAGATATGTTTTAGAAACCATGCCATCAAAAACATCTATAGAGTATACCCAACTGCACAACACATGCTTCTATTCATTCAGCAAAAGAAATGGGTAGCTGATTGTAGATAGGAGGTTTTGTTTTCTTTTTTTTTTTAAGTTTGTTAATTAGGACAAACTTCATAGATACAGTCTCCAAGAAGATCCGGACATATCAATAATGTTCCCTTTTTTATTGTTTTTCAATACTCACTAACCAATTAGACAATAATAAAAATTTTCATTTGCATGCCTTATGCTAGGGGGAAAAACGAATGGAATTATTTCAGAAAATTTCACATCCGCTTTCTTAGAGTTCTAGTAGGTCTACCTCTGGAGGGAGAGTGGACAAACATGTATAGATAACCTCAGGATTTCAAGAGCTTCATAGTGTTTTCTGCTAAAAACTAATCATGCTAAATGTTGATGATGCAAATTCATAGAACTTATAAGATGATAATATACTCTATAAGCAATACCACCAATCAGAAATTAGCTACCAGGAATTGAAAAATATTAGGATAAGTTCATAATTCACAAGAAAGAAGCAATGAATATTGACATTGGAGATAATTGGTTCACATAAATACAACAGTAAACCTGCACTAAATTATCACATAAGAGGTCTGACAGACACATATAGGCATCTAATCTTGTTCTCCTTACTTAGTCCCCTTGTTTTGTTAGGACCAGACTAATTGAAAATAGATATTTATCTTTTGCTCTGTTCACTCCAGCAGAGCAAGATTAGATGCGACCACTAGGACCAGTTACTGTCATCCAAAGCTATGATGGCCTCCCTCCTCTTCATAAGAAGCCAGAAATTACACTTTCAACAAAACACTTATTTCCTCCCCTCTCTTACAGAAAAGGAGAAGACTGCAAGAGTTATCCTCCTGGGCATCAATTTAGACCAAACTACGAGGATATCAAACTGGAAGCATTAGTAAGCACACAAGGAAATACATGAAAAAACCAGGGTCCAATCTACTATTCAGAAATTCTGTGTATCATAGGACTGATGTTCCACAAAGCCTAAACATATGGTCCTATGAAATGGCGAAAAGAAACAGAAAAAGAAAAACCATTGAAGTACATGACATCCTTTTTTGTAGTTAAGTACATAACACCCTTCTTTAACCTGCAAATTATTCATGCAATATTCATCCAGCATCTCAAGTGATAAATTTAAGATGAGACTTCTCATCCTCATTGTGAGTGTCAGGAAACGGCTTACATGAGCTGGTATGGAGTCACCACCCATCATTTGATTAAATAGGGAGTGATGGGCCTCTCGGGGTTATGTATGAAAGAGGGAAGGGGTTTGGCACCCCTCTCCCATTTCCATAGTTGGGGTCCACATAAGATGCCCAAAACAAATGCAAGCAAGCCAGTAAGCATAATTGAATGAATCACAAAAGGAGAAAGGAAGAAAGAACTATCAAGTAACAATAGAGAGAATAACTCAAGCAAGGAAGATAATTATCATTATCATTATTACTTTTTGTTTCGCAGATGAAAATTGGTTATTTGACTATACGTGAACAACGAAGGCCAGCACAAAAGACAATTATGAAAATTAATTAAATCAAAATTACCCTAATATGAGAAATACTTAATTAAGACGGGGACTTCCATGGAATGAGAATTAATGAGGTTTGATGGGAATTATTAAGGGTTGTGAAGGGAAGTAACCACTAATCTAGGAAGAAATCCATTCAGTGTAATAAAGCTAATCAGCTAAAATAGGACAAGATTTGAATTACTAAGCTAAAAAGGGAATTATTCAACATAGTAAGAGATATCTAATAAACCAACACACAAGTGTAAAACTATTCATCACGAGGAATGGCAAGGTAGGATTAGCTTAGTAATTCAAATCTTGTCCTATATTAGCTGATTAGCTTTACAACACTGTGGATTTCTTCCTAGATTAGTGGTTACTTCCCTTCACGAAGTGTCAATCCTCTTATTAAAACTCGGCACCACAAAACCGAGTACACTAATGATTAATCACACTAACCACACTCAACCATTTAACATTAAGCAAAAGATCGGGACAAGAATTAACTGTATCCAATTATTAGAATGCAGAAAAATATGAGATAAAGAGTCTCAACTGCTGAATTGATGTCGTTAAGCAAATATTCACATACTCGAGAATTTCTACCTTAAAACTAGAAAATCACTTGATTCTAGAGACAAATTATACATATATATCCAGTGTAAATGAGAGCAAAAAAAAAATGGAACAAGATTGCATAAACAATTAATGCTACCTATGCTTTGTACCATGGAATCAAAATGTTAACCACTTGCTAGATCGGCAAATGATAAAAGATGGGAGCAGAAACCAAGAAACAGAGGACAAAACTAACCTAATAATTAATTATATCAATACGAGAGGAGAAACTGAGAAGCAGAGAAACGGAGAATAAAATTAGCATGCACTCGGGCTGATGAAAATAAAACCGACCCCAAGTGGCGTTGATCGGTGAAGAAAGGCGGAAATGTGTGCTGAGATTCACGTGGATTCAATCGGCTGATTGGATTTGAATGTAAAGGAAGCCACGAAGAGGCAGGTTGGTGTGACTCTTCTCTAACCGAACTTGAGTGGAATGTGCAAGCGTGAGGGGAGCTCAATCAAACCGACCTGGGTCGTTGCAGCAATTCAACAATGGGGGTGGCGGTTTCGAAGGTGGATGAAGAGGTCCAAATCCACTGTAAAGATCGAATTGCTGCTTGGCGATGCTATATATCTGCACTGCTGCCGTCCAAAGATTAGGAGCAGAAGAAAGGCCGAGCTCAATCCTTCACCCTGTTTTCCTTAAAAAGGCATTCATCATCTGTCCTATCTGGCTCGACTACTGCAAACTTACGAATCTTCAAGTCACTGGGGGTGTGGTCTAAAAAAAAAAAAAAACATGTTCTTGATAGACTTTGTTGTTTTAAAAAATAATGCATATTTTTTGAATAACAGAATATTGGTTTTTAAAACAAAAACAAATTTTTGAATAACAGAAATTATATGATTTATTAAACATGACATTGAATAATCAACTGAAAACATGATTTTAAAATCAGATTGAAGAGCATGTTTTTGGTTTCAGTTTTCAAAACATAGAATGCGTACACAGTCAAACAACCAAGGACATGTTTCTTTTGTTTTCTATTTTAAGAAACAATCTACTTTCAAACAAGATAGTTTTGATTTGTTTCTGAAACCAGAAACAAGAAAATCAATTCACATTGTTGCAAAACGCCCCCTAATTTGTTCTTTAGTGAGAGTGTCCAATTTCCTATACTTTAGATAAATTTGTATTATATTTTGTATCTTAGTGTTTAATTTTTTTATTACTTTTTATTGGTTTGTTATATTATTTTTAGGTAAAATTATAAAAAAAAAACTCCTCTAATATTTAGAAACCACCTTTGTGCTTTGATACTAAACAAAGGTCTTTATTATAGTTTTGAAAAGAAAACAAAGGTCACTGTACACAATTTAAAGTTTCAACTTTACCCTCTACTAATTTATTTTGCTAGACAACTTTCAAAGAGTAATTCTTCTTATTCTTCTTGGACGGAGGCAAAAAAGCCGAAGTAAAGTAAAAGGAAACAAATCTTTTTTAAAGGGATTTTATTAAATTTATATGTGAATGAAGTTGAATAAGGGTAAATTTGGTATTTTATTAAAATAATGCATCACATCAACATTTTTTGTTCATAATGCCAATGAAAGTTTTTCGAAACATCTGGGGAGGTTTTTGCTAAGGTCAAAAGGGGAGTTTTATAGGACTGTTAGAAAACCCAAGATGTTTTTATAATATTTCCTATTTTAAATGGAAATTAAACTGATTTAAAATTAATTAGACTATATTTAAATATAATATTTTTATTAGTTTTGTTTTCATTAATCCTTATTAAATTTAATTAACTATATTAAGTTTTTATTTTTTAGTAGAACTTAAGTTGTTTTTGAATTAGTAAAATTAATTATAAAACTAATAATTATTAGGTAGTTTTGTATTAGTTCTATATTAATTTTAAAATTGATATTAGTCTTAAATTTATCTTATTCTTTTTTATTAATTTAAATTGTTTCTATATTAATAGAAATATTTTTTTATCAATAACAATAATTAATAATTATTTTTATTTTATTTAATTAACTTACTAAATTATTTTTACTATGGTTATTGTTTTTAAATGGAATATAAATAGATTATAATTTGTATGATGTCTTATTCAACGTTTTCAACTTGTCGTTGACTCAGATAACTAAACCATTCAAACCATCACTCAGCCCAATTTCTAATTATGGGTTTCCTAGAACCCACATTGTTCAACATGTGCGGTTGAACCATTGACCCTTTTAACCCAATCATTAAATCATAGGTTACAATATATAAAGTATTGAAAACTTCTGAAGGATTTAACTTGGTTATCTGATTGGGTACGATTTTTTTCTATTTTGGATAACTTTACACGATCTTTATAGCCCCACTATACAAAAAGAAACTCAATTGTTAGTCTTAGATTTTAATTTTTTGTTCTATATTTATAAAAAGACTAAAAACAAATAGACCTTATATTCTACATATATAGATGAATGATGTGTCACATTGTGACCTTTCCTTCTGTGGCTCTTTGCAACAATGCCAAGTTTTGTCTCTTTGTTATAGTTGTCAATTGTAGATTAGTACTCAAAAAAATTTCCCTATATGGATAACTAAATGTGGTGGATGTTATATTAACCAAAGTTGCAAGATCTGAAGAGAATCGCAAAATGGTCATACTCTACATGTGTGTAACATGGCTAGTCCTAATATCATAGGGATCAAGGTAGCTAACGATGCTTCCTTAACTTGGTGTAGAACTATCACTAGCCTTGCATGGATCCTTTTGCAGTTAAGCAGGAAGAGCAAATGGCCCACGATGACCATGAGAAAAACACTTCTTCCCCTCTCTATCCTTGTTTGGTTTATCTAGCCTAAGAGATTTTGGTGCTTCAGTTTAGGAGAAAATTGGTTGTAAGGAATTCTTCATCTTCCATCTATAACTAAGGTTTTTACACCTTAAAAATTCAGAGGTCTGCTTTATATCCTTGCTTAGAAATTAGGAAGACAATCTAATCCTCAATTGCATGCTCAAAATATAAGTTACCTCTTCTAATGTTGGGCAAATCTCAATTTCCTCAAAACAAAAGGCTATCTTTTCTATACCCCAACATTTGAAGACTACCTTTAGCAAAGAACACTCCTACTTTACTAGCAACAAGTTTATAACATTTTCCTAATGAGGGGATCCCCCAGGGCTCTAACATCATCAGCCTTCTCATGAATCCTCTCGTAAATGAACGTAAAACTTCAAAAAAGGCTTGGTCCATTTCTTCCAACAAAGAGGATAGTTGTAGGCCATTTTTGTAACACTCTTAGCTTATTTTGAACAACTTAGAGCCCAATCAAATACCAAGCATAATTACAAGAGACATTTTGAGACAACATAAAAAAAAAACATATACACTAATAGAGAAAATAGAAGTACCTTTTAATATTGGACTAGATACTCCTAAATCTCAAGATCAAAGTTGTTCTTGAAACTACAACAAGCGAGGGGTGAAGTATCTTTTGATACTGGTTAAGGGAGGATTAGACCCTTTACCATAGCATACATATTAAATACTTTGGGATTTTGAAGTCAATATGTGAGGTTAAAGTGGTTTTTTTATGCTACTTCTCAAGAGGTAACTCACAGAGTCATGTGTCCACTTAGCCTTGGGTTTAACCAAACAGAAAATGGATGAAGTATCTTTTGGTACTGGTCAAGGGAGAATTAGATCATTATATGTACCTACTAGACACTTTGGGAGTTTGAAGGCATAAAAGAGAGTTAAAGTGACCTTTTTATGCTACTTCTCAAGAGTTAATTCATAGAGTCGTGCATTAGGGGATGATGACCTTGAGTAAAAATATGGGTTCTTTAAGCATTTTAGGTGAGAGTTTTGATTTTGATTATTTGACTTTGATTCAGGATTTTGGTGTTTTTGAAGCTTACTTAGATGTGAATTAGTATTAGTATTTGAAACTTGATCTTGGGTAAAACTTTTAAAAATTTAAAAGGTGTTCTACTGTCTTTTAAGGGAAGATCAATGTACTTTTTAAATGGATCGAAAGGATTTGGGTTTTATTTTGTTCATACTTTTAAGGATGACAATTACATAGTGCAACACTTATAGTGTCTTAGCCTTAGTCACACTAAGGTTTTTTTATCCTACTTCCATATAAAACTGTTGTGTATGAATATTCTAAGTGCAATGCATGAGACTGTTATGATGATTCTAGACTCAAACCTTTTAACATTGTTGTCAAACTTCAAACCTCCACCCATGGACAAATAAGCTTCTTTGGTCGGTATCATATTTGAAGAGTTGGAGCTTATAAGGACCAAAGTCTAGGCACACACCTACTATCCCTCCCCTAATAGGTAAGAGGGGGATTCTAATTCTAATTTCATGAAAGTGTGTGTTGCTATGAATTTTTAAATATGCAAGAGAAAAAAAAAGTTAAACACAAAGAAGTAAAGGAAAAAGGGAGATTTAACCATATGTTCAAATTTACAAACAACTCCACCAGTTTTTATGTGGTCATATTTGGGGATCTAAAGACAAACTATGTTCTTTCGATGCTTGTTATTGAAAACTAAAAATAAAAAAGGAGATAAAACAACCATCTACAATTTTCAAACTGCTCAAAGATAAGACTTAAGGTTCCATTTTCTTGCGATACAAACGCCGAACCGGGGTATTTATGTACCCCGGTTCACGTTTGCGAGCGTTTGTTTGATATGTAAAAAAGTTATGATTATCAGAGCAAAAATGTATTTTCTAACACTTTTGTACTCTAAGAAGAGAGCATTACTATACCTATTTTTTGGATACAATTTTGTGTTCTTTTGATAATTAACTTTTTGACCAAAGTTAAGGCATTGGAGCATAAGATAGTTGGAGCATTTAATGATGGGCCCACATTTTTGCACCGATTTCAAACAAACAAGATGAATGCAAAAACGGTTTAAAATGTAAACCGTGTTTGCATTCATGAACCGAAAAATGGATAAATATGTAGTGTACATATTTGCGTTTGCATTGCAACCAAACATAGCCTAAACAAAGTTACTTGTACAAAAAAATAAGTTGCCTTTTTTTTTCAAAAGGGCCATCAAAAGAAACAAGAGGGGATGGAACCAAGTCCCAAAAAAAAAATCAAAATAAGGGGGGAATTTGAGGCTGATGAAGATGTAGGGATAGTTCTAAACTCACCATCATTGGCCATGTTGGCTACGACTAGAATTTCCCTAAAACTCTAACATCTGAAATTGTTATAATTATTATTTTGAGGTGTGGTTTTAGGACCAATGGCATATTACAGTGAATCACTGTCGCTCTAATGAATAAAGAGTTCATTGATCTTACCATTTAATATTAGAACTTATAAGTAGTAACCTAAAGAGTGGTGATCCAATGAGTGCGTTATTTGGTATTGTTTACATGTGTATCACTAATTGAGTATAAAATCTAAGCATGGCCCTATAATGGTTGGGGTGTTTAGGGGATGTTTCTCTATTCGACACGTATTATGTTTGAATGGTGACCCATGTCCCTTCTATTGGATTTTCCCCCTCTTCCCCTCTTTCTCTCAGTTCACTTATCCTTATTTTTCATTTTTTTCTCCCTCTTTCTCAACTCACCTATCATTAATTACTTGAGTGGGTGACCATAGTGATAGGATTGACTCCTTTGTTAAACAAGTGAATATTAGGGTTTATACACTCTTTAATGGAAACATAAACCATCGACAGTAGACTTCGACTATATTTGAAATCCATTTTGCAAAATATATTTATATGCTATATTATT